AATCTAATAGAGATATTTGGAATTATTTTAATAATTAATTTATTTTATATCCTACATAAGCCTGTCTATGCATTCTAAGAAAAAGAAATAATGTATATTATAACATAAACTTTATAAACTTTGTAGAAAAAAGTTTCTGGAAAATATGGTATTGGAGTTTTTTTTGTTTGATTTATATAATATAGTCACAGGCAATAGAAAAATGTTCAAAATATATTATTTTCTTCTTAACTAAAAAACATGTTGAAGCAGCTGAGAGAGAAATTGTAGGACATACTTTTCCATGGCCTGATATTTTTCATCACTGCATACAGCCTTAAATAACATAACGATACCAAAATCCTCTGTTCAGACTTACATATCCTACTAGTATTTAATGCAATTATAAAACTCACTCATAGAACTCAAGTAAAATTATAGAATTCGCTCAACAAGCCCAACTAAAATGTAAAATTATCTTGCTTTTACATTTATGAAAGGCTGATGGATTTATCACCTCAGTGTAAGAACAAGTATTGCCTAACTAGTATTATGAAAATTTTATTGAAAACTAAAAGCTAATGGATGAAGATGTTATTAACTTCTGAGTAGTTATATCAACTAATATTAAAACAAGATTCTCAGGTTTCTAGTTTATATTGTGCATTCATTTATGGTAAAATTGAGAAATGCACACCGATTTATACTGGAGCTCAGATTTTTATGGGCACACACAAAACTAAGAGTAAAAGTAAAGTTATATGAAGAATGATGATAATATTTTGCATTTTACTACACTTGATCTTAGCCAAAAGGCCGAGAAGCGATATATTTTGCATTTTAAATTCTTCTGTAAATAAAATCAAAAACACCTTAATGACTTATTATCTTTTTAATTAAGTTTATTTGCACTTTATACTACTTTTAATATACAATAAAACAGAAAAAAAGTTTTATGATTATGTACTCATGTTAATTTAAAGCAGGAATTAATCCTACCCTTAAAAAAAATTAGACTCGTGTACAAGACAGTCCTGGAGGCATGTAGTAAGAAAGAAACATTCCCTTTTTACTCAACCAACTATTACCCCTAAAAACAAAGATGTATATGAAGTTTATGGAAATGACTGCATATAACTAATTAAACTGTGCTGAATTAGGGTAACATTACAGGAAAATAACTTCAAAATTATAAGTGAAGAAAAAAAATATTCACACACTTTGTGTTTGTTACTGAAATTGCTAACACACTAGTGTGTAAAGTTTTGAAGATCATAATCTAGGGAAATTAGCTGGGCTCTTCTTGTCAAGAATCGCTTAGAGAATAAAGAAGTGAGAATACAAGTGTACAATGAATAATGTTCCAAGTAAGGATACAATTTTTCTTTTACCTCTCATCCTAAAACACTGCATTTAATGCCCAAACTATAATACTTTAGTCATCTATGTCTCAATTTCATTTTTATAGACTTATATTTTTAACATAAAAAAATCTAAAATCAACCTTAATGTGAACCTCTTTAAAACTGAACTGTAAAAAACTATGTAAGAATATATTCCTTCTAAAATTTTACTTTAGTAGAATATATTATTCTGCTGGCTCAATACATTTTCTTCTCTGAAAGCATACTAAGATGTAGTAGTGCTACCAAAAAATATGAAGACACAGATGTTTAAACAAATACTGGAAATACTCCCACTAGTAAGAACTCCCCAGTCTTCTCCCTCTTCTCAGAGAAGTCTTCTTTCAAAACACCTGTTGGGAAGTTTCTCTGAGTCTTAAATAATTTTATGTCACAATAAGCAGTTACTTGTGACAACTAGTGATGATCTCTGTTTGATTTTAGATTCTAATATAATACATGATATAATTCATATGGAAATTGTTTCTATGAAAAGTGTTTTTATAAATTAGTATAATAATCTATTTGCCTTATCTACCACAAAAATCCATGCTCCTATTTTTCAAAATAAATTTTATAGCCTTAAAATGAGTAAAATATTTCATTATAACAGCCTTTTATTATGAGTCATGCTACTGAGGATATTTTAATCACTAGTTTGTTGATTAAACACTTCAGAGACTACTTCAGCTGAGATACTTGAAATAAAATCTCTTAAAAATCTGAAATAAAATACATACTCACAAAACCCTCTTTCTTCATTAGTTTACATAATTGCGCTGCATCCATATTCAATAAAAACACCTTTATGCCCAAGAACCTACAAATCTTAACCTTAAAATTGAGCCCTAAGGCTCACATAAAATCTTTTGATTACTAAAATAAATCTTAATTTGTACTATAACATGAGTCTTACAAATCCTGAAGTTTCTAAGTTTTATGTCACCACTCTCTACCCATGTATCTCAAATAATTATGAAACTCTTTTCATTCCATCAATAGAAATACACCATACACCTTCTATATACTGAAAAATAAGATAAACCAGGTCTAATAGCTGCTAGTCCAAGTGTCCTCTGCTGGATTAAAATTCATCCTTCAGAAATACTCATGAGATTAATAGTGTGCTTCCTCAGCAGGCTGTGTTAAATAACTCACTAATAAATGCACTTGAAACAAGAGTATGGGATACCTGAACACTTTAATTTAAAGGTATCACTTAAGCCCAGAATACATTTAGCAACCTAATTTAAAAAATAAAGAAAAAGTAAGGTAACTGTAGTAAATTTACTCTGTTCTCCAGAGCAGATATTGAGGAAAAACCTGATACATTTAAAAGGAAATTAACTTAGTAGTAATTTACAGAGCATCCCTTATAGGATTGCAAAAATTCAATCAAAAAACCCTGTTTTAACAATTTATATTGAGGATATTTCCAGATTTCCAGGGGAAGAGCAATATGGGAAACTGAGCCACTTTGGGAGTGGGGGGTGGGGTTTAAGAATTTAAAACACTTTTTCTGTGTCTTTATGGTGTAGATTAAACTATCTCTTTTCCTTCTCTTCGTGTGTGTGTGTGTGTGTGTGTGTGTGTGTGTGTGTGATTTGCTTTTCCTCAAGTTTTACTGCTAATGAGAAGAATCATCATCATCATCATCACCACCACCACCATCCAGCCAGCCATCAGGCAGTGACCAGCTAGAAAAGCACTATGATACAAATACAATGTGGCCACCTCAACCCTCAAAACCTCCTGGGATACTTCCATCCAAGGTTGTTCCTCACTAATAGACCAAACTCATTTTTACATGGACCCTAAATAAAAATAGAGCTGGAAGTGGAAGATTCAGCATTAACCCCCTGTGATACCATTGTAATGTCAATGATAAAAATATAAGAAGAGTATATAACATGTGTCTTTGTGAAATGACTGTAAAAGATTTATAAATATATATTTTAACATCTCTATTTTAAAAGATTATCATAAATAGCAGTTTTAGACAGTCACAGAAAGACTTTTGTAGAAACCATGATTTTTTAAGGGATAAATTTCTTGTTCAGTGTTATATAAACCTCAAAAAACTATGATTACTACTATTATTAAACACTAAAAAGTGGAATTTAATATTAGTACAATTAATACTTTGGTATATTCAGTGGCATCAAGTACAAGAGTCTCTTTTACAAGGACATTATACTATTATAAGAAAATAAATTTTGCTAAGTTTTAGCATTTGTTACACTTGTCTCAGAAAATATAAGGTTCTGAAATGTTTAAACCCTTTTATTTTAATAATAAAAACATTACTTAATCAAGTGTCATTTAAAGGCGTTTACTTTTGAAAGCATAAAATAACACAAATTATTTTCATTTGCCCCAAACTAATCTTCCTCCCAAAGTGTGACTTATAGTGAAACTCAGTTTTGAATTTCAAGTACTACTCATCCAGAGTAATTTGTAGTAACTCACATTCATAATAGGGGATGATTAAGTTTTCCTGTGACACAACTTAATAGTGGATAAAAGAAACTAGGCAGTGACTAGACACAATACAGTCACCTGCTGCTGTTAAAATCTATGTCCAAGCTGGGTCATTTTTTTTTTCATATATCAAAACCTTTGAACGGTACTATCTAACACATAATAAGTATCACTCAGATATACAGAAAATACACAGTATGCAAACTTAAATGCATTCTGGAATTCTTCATGGCAAGTGCCTTTAAGTGCAACTTTGCTTCCGGTTTTCAAGAGCCCCAAAGTAGTCCATGACCTTATTGTGAACTTTCTACATTCATCACACACACACACACACACACACACACACACACACACACACTCACACACACACACACAGATCAGGAAAACCACAGGACAGAATAAATTTAAACTTTTCATAGATAGTTACTCATCATTATCCAGAGTATACATTTATACAAACTTTTGAAAGATCTTAAGAGTATATGTGACATTTCCAAAGCTTAAGCAACTTAATGCATTGTGCTGCAGTTTTAAAGAGTAGATAAAATTAACGTCCTTTAAAATACTCTTTAAATACAAAGCTGACTTTGGGGATGGCAGTGAAAACTGGCCCAAGGCTCTGGCATTCTGGCCGACAGTTAACTCCTTAATATTTGGGTACCCATTTCTCTCACTTGGCATCCTATGCTTTAATGAACTTAAATTCACTTTTAAAGTGAATTAGGTAAAACATTTTTTTTTTCTCTATTCTGGAAATCCTTTCTTACAGGGGGAAAAAAAAATATAGAGCCTCAAACAAAAATAAAGTAAAATAAACTATGCCTAATTAACCCTAACATTTTTTAAAACTACAAAAATAAACTTTTAAAATGCCACAAAAGCAAGACATGTACATCTTATAGACTTTAGACCATTTACATGGGAGAGAATATGTATAGATAAATGTTGTACACACGCAGTGGCCAAAGTGTAAACCATGTTCATTAAAAAAAAAAAAAAAAGAAGAAGAAAGAAAGAAAAGGAAAAATCCCTTCTCACTGCTGCTGGCAGTGGCTTGTCCTGTCAGAAAGGTTTCAGGACAGCTCCCACACCAGCACTAACGTGGAGTCCCAGGGGGGGATGCTAAAAGTCTCCTACCTGAATTATGGACATCCGAGTGGCCGGGGTCTCGCTCGCATTAGTCCCTTGTCCGGTGAAGCTGGTGTGGCAGCCCGCGTGGCCCTGAGGGACAGTCAGGTTGTTGGAGGCCGGTTTGAGATACATCACCTCGGACCGGGGCGAGCTGAGGGGCAGGCGGGTCTGGTAGTCGAAGTACATGGGGGAGGTGGCCAGGGAGGGGCTGCTCACCACGTTCATGACGTTCATGGCGTTCCTCTCCTCCACCTCGCTCTGCACCAGCATGATGTCGTTCTTGTTGATCTTCTTCTTCTTGCCCTTGCCCCCGCCCAGCTGCGGGTGGCTGTACTCGGCGATGCGGCAGTTGTAGGTGCGGATCTCCTTGTTCTCCCGCTTGCACTTGACGGCGATGGTGATCATGGCCGCCAGCAGGATGATGGAGATGGTGCTCAGCGTCACGATGAGCGGCAGCGACATGTCCCAGGGGTGCTGCTCCCCGTTCACGCGCGGGACCCCCTCGGGCAGGGAGCCGCTCACCGAGCGGATGACGAGCTTGGCCACGGCCGACAGGGTGGGCTTGCCGTGGTCCGTCACCTTCACCACCAGCTCCACCACGGGCGTCACGTCCTCCCAGAAGGGGTGCAGCGTGCGGATCTCGCCGCTGGACGGGTCGATCTCGAACAGGTGGTCGTCGTTGCCGTCCACGATCTCGTAGGTGAGGCGGCCGCTCTCGCCGAAGTCGCTGTCCAGGGCGCGCACGGTGCTCACCAGGTAGCCCAGGCCGGCGTTGCGCGGCACCTGCAGCTCGGCCGTGTCGTTCTGCAGGGTGGGCAGCACGATCACCGGCGCGTTGTCGTTCACGTCCAGCACCGTCACCCGCACCGTGGCGTTGCTCTCCAGGTGCGCGGGCGCGCCCGAGTCCTTGGCCAGCACCTTGAACTCGAAGGCCTTGGTCTGCTCGTAGTTGAAGGAGCGCAGAGCGTAGATGGCCCCGTTGGTGGGGTTCACGGACACGTAGGTGTAGACGGACACGTCGCCGATGTGCGAGGGCAGGATGGAGTAGGACACGGTGCCGTTCTGGCCCAGGTCCGGGTCCTGGGCGAGCACGGAGCCCAGGTACTCTCCCGGGATGTTGTTCTCGTGCACCTGCAGCACGTACAGCCCCTTGGTGAAGCGGGGCGGGTTGTCGTTCTCGTCCAGGATCCTCACGGCGAACGACTTGGTGGAGTTGAGCGGCGGCGAGCCCCCGTCCCGCGCCACGATCGTCACGTTGTACTCGTCCTGCGCCTCGCGGTCCAGCGGGCGGTCCGTCACGACCGTGTAGAAGTTGTCGTAGTTCTCCTCCAGCTTGAAGGGCACGGGCCCCCCGGAGCCGCCCCCGCCGCCGGCCGCCCCGCCGCCGCCGCCCAGCACCCGGCACTGCAGCTGCCCGTTCTTGCCCGAGTCTCGGTCGGTGACCCGCACCAGCGCGATGACGGTGCCCGGCGGGGCGGCCTCGCTCAGCGCCCCCTGGCGCACGGACACGAAACCGATGGACGGCGCGTTGTCGTTGCGGTCGATGAGCTTGACCGTGACCTTGCAGTGCGCCGGGATGGGGTTGGGGCCCAGGTCCCGCGCCTGCACGTCGATCTCCAGCATCCCGTTCTCCTCGTAGTCCAGGTTTCCTTTGACGCGGATGAGGCCGGTCTTGGGGTCGATGGAGAAGAGCTCCCGCACGCGGTCGGGCACGTAGCTGCTGAAGGCGTAGAGCACCTCGCCGTTGGGGCCCTCGTCGGCGTCGGTGGCGTTCAGGTCGATGACCACGGTGCCCGCGGGCGAGTTCTCGGGCAGCTCCACCAGGTAGGAGGGCGCCTCGAACACCGGGCTGTTGTCGTTGGAGTCGATCACCTTCACGTCGATCTGCACGGTGGCGGAGCGCGGCGGCTCCCCGCCGTCCAGGGCGGTCAGCACGAGCGCGTGGCGGCTCTGCTGCTCGCGGTCCAGCGCCTTCTGGATGACCAGCTCCGGGAACTTGGTGCCGTCGCCGCGGGACTTGACGTCCAACGCGAAGAGGCCGTGGTCGTCGCGGGTGAGCAGGTAGGTGCGCAGCCCGTTGTCGCCCGCGTCGGGGTCGTGCGCGCTGGTGAGCGGGAAGCGGGTGCCGGGAGCCGCGTTCTCCGAGATGTCCATCTCGATCTGGTCCGAGGGGAAGGACGGTGCGTTGTCGTTGATGTCCTGCACCTCCACCTTGATCATGCAGATCTCCTGGTCGTTGGCGAACACCTCGAGGGACAGCTGGCACTTGGCGTTGTGGCGGCACAGGGACTCGCGGTCGATGCGCTGCTTGGTGTAGAGCAGCCCGCTGTCGGCGTCCACGTCCAGCAGGTGCGGCGCCGAGTTCTCCAGCACCCGGTAGCTGCCGGACCGGCCGCGCCCGCCGCCCCCACCGCGCTCCCCGGGCGGCGCCCCCGGCTGCAGGCGCGCATCCTTGCCGATGTTGCCGATCACCGTGCCGGCCCCCTGCTCTTCCGGCACCGAGTAGTTCAGGTTTTTGAGCGTCAGGGCGGGGGCCCACAGCAGAAAGCAGCAACAGATGGAAAGGTACATCCCAGCCCGGTGGGGTGGAGGCAGGAACAGGCGGACCGGAGCGGAGAGCGAGGGGGTGCGCGGCAGCCCGGAGCCCCCGCGCAGCATGGAGCCGAGCCACCAGTCCTGGGGGGTCTCCCTCCTGCCTTCCCTCCCCCCCGCTCCCGGGCTACGGGGACCCCGCGGTCCCTCCTCTGCACCGGCTCAAGTTCCCGAACCTGTTGATCTACAGCATCCGCGCCGGGCGGGCGAGAGGCAGGGGCGGGCGCGACGGGGCTGCGGGAGCGCGGAGCCCGGCGGCGGCGGATCCCCCGCGGCTGGGGCAAGCCCCGGGCTGGCTTTGTCTTTCGCCGCCCCGAACTTGATGCAGGAGACTCAAACTTCAGCGACGACTACAGTGCGGGGAGGAAAAAAAAAAAAATGTCAATCTAGTCCGGGAGGGGAGAGAACGAGCCTGGAATGCGCCGGTTTGCCTCGCTCCCCCTCGGACGCTGCCAATCCGCTCCCGCCGGGAGCCTCCGGAATACTCTCCCAATGGGGAGGGGAGGAGGGAGCGGGAGGTGTGTCTTCGGGCAGACGGGAAAGTGAAATCCTTACTTGCTTCTGGCCGCCTCCGGTGATGCAATGAATGGGGCTGGGAGCCGCAGGGAGAGGGAGAGAGGCGGAGAGGTGGCGAAGCCTCCCCCGGAGCGCGGTGCGGTGCCTGCTGGCTCCTCCGGCGGCTCTGCGCCGATCAGGCCGCGCTTCCCCGCATTTAGAGATCTAATCTTGCATTGCTGGCTGAGGCGGCGGCGGCGGGCTGCATCTCCCAGCCGAGCGTATTTTCCCCCCTCTCTCTCTCTCTGCTTTCCGAGCAGCCTCAAGGAGGGGAGGAAATGCAGTGCAAAGAACTAGTGTCCCGATTTGTAGTTTCCTCCCTCCGCCAAGCTCCTCCCTCTCTTCCTCCGAAAAGGCTCTCCCTCCCCAAAGTCAAGGAAGCCACAGCCCGGTCTGCGATTGCGGTGTGAGTCTACGGGGAGGGTGTGTGTGTGTGTGTGTGTGTGTGTGTGTGTGTGTGGTGTGTGTGTGGAGGGGGGTGGAGGGGGAGGGAGGGTGTATCGAGGTATCTCCGCCTCCGCCCGGACGACACGCTCTCTGATTTCTCTGCGGGAAGCCAGGCGCCGCCGCTACCAGCCTCCCATCCTCTCCCGGCGGCGAGCAGGGACTTCTCTGGCTGCAGTTTAATTCCAGTTTGCGTTGCTTCCCGGGCGAAAGGAAATCAACAGGCAACTCATGGTTGGATGTGCAGATTTGGGGGCGGGGGGGAAGAGAGGGAGAGGAGGAATAGGAAGGCAGGGGGAGCCACCTCCCAGTCCTCTGCACACACACACACTCTCTCCCTGTCTCTCGCTAGAAGGGAGACAGTCTCTGCATTCACAAGGCTGGGCTGTCAAGTGCCTCTCTTTTCTTTCTATTCAGCCTCTCCTTCCAATGGCCCCGTCTCCCAGTCCGCGTCATCTAGAAAGGCAAGGCTTTGGCGAGGAATGAAAGTGGGGAGCGTTTGAAGCGAAGAAAGTGCGGGTCTTTTTTTTTTTTTCTCCTCCCCTTCTTAAAAAAAAAATTATATATATATATATATATATATTTTAATAGTAAGAATGAGCTGGATGAAAGAAATACACCATCAAGGTCTGGCGTGATGCCTTCTGCAGTCTGGCTCCCAGTCTCTGGGCGACTCGGGGAGGGAGCGCAGGGAGCGAGGAGCGGCGGCCGCGCCGGGCCGGCCAGGGGCGCCCGCCCCGGGGGGAAGGGAGCTCCCTCCGAGGGGGCGGCAGACCCGGGCCGGTGAGCACGTTATGTCAGGTCCTCCGGGCGCCTGGCCGTGCGGGGGTGACACATCCAGGAATGCAGGTGTTCCGATCCGATCCGCCGCCGGCTGAGTCGGAGGCAGCGGGACGAATGGTATTCACCCTCGCCTGCCTCTGGGTCTTCCCTGCACAGGCATTAGTCGCGGCTTCCTCCAGAGGCTTTCTCTGACTCACTCACTGCCCGGGAAGGAAAGCCAGATTCTCGTTTTTTGGAGAAGGAGGAGGCAAAAAAGCGAGAGCGAGGGAGGGAGAGAAGCGGGAAGGGGAAGCCGAATCCAGCAGCACTTTTTACTCTACCTCTGTCTGTCTGCCGGAGTCCAAGGCTGGGGAAAGCAAGGCGTCTGTTTCGCTAGGTCTAGGTATTTGTTTATTTAGGAAAGAAAAAAGAAGAAGAAAAAAAAAGCCTTTCCTTTGGCTTAGGCGTGAGGAACCACCAAATCTCTCAGAGTCTCTTTTTTGGGGAGATCAGGATTCCAGGGAGTGTTCACAGCTCAGCCCCGCATCACAGTTCAGGATTTTCCTCCCAATGTTCTCTGTTCACAGAGTCCAGCCCCGGCGCGCAGAGTTAATTGTGCAGTCCGTGGTGGAGGGGTTTTTTGTGGGTTTTTTTCTCCTCCTGTTCTGTCACGGGTGGTGGTCCCTTTCAATCCGGTGCCTGACAGGATCAGCTCACAGCCTGCAGAAGACGTGCGGGTTTCAAAGCCAATGAAGCCATCTCCGAAGGCGACGCACCGAAGGAGAGGAGAGGCGAGGCGAGGCGAGGCGAGGATTCAACAGTTGGAGCACCGTCTCCCCGGCCGCCCGCCGCCCTCCGCCCGCCGCTGCCGCAGCCGCCGGCTCGGCCCGCAGCCCCGGCTCCCTCCCCAGCGCCTCTTGCTGACTGACTATTCCCCTCACGCCGCCGCTTAAACATTGATACTGGTTCCCCGCCAGCCAATCCGCGCGAGGGGCGCGGCCCCGCCCCCTGGGCCCGCGCCCAATGGGAGGCGGCGAGGAGACTGGCGGGGGCGGAGCCAGGAACCCCAGCGCCGCGGAGTCATTGATTAGATCAGTTCGCAGGGAGACCGGCGGGGCCAAGCCAGCCCCGCGCTCCGCTGCCGCAGTGGTGGGTGCCCCAGCCTCGCCGCCGGGTCTCCAAGTATTGGACCCCTGGGGGAGGTCCTTCACCGCCTTCCTCTGCAAAAGAGGGAAGTCACTGGAGGGGAAAAAAAAAAAAAAAAAGTTAGGCAGCGAGATGTATACGAGAACCCGGATCACAGCTAGCTTTGCTAAAGAAGGTAGCTGCGGTTTTCCCGGTGGGTTTCTGCACACACACACACACACACACACACACACACACACCACATGCACACGCTGGCACCATGGACACACCCATAGCAAGGGAGGCCTGGATCTTTGGCTGCGTGTGGACCCGTCTGAATGAGGTGCAGAGGGGTGTGTGTGTGTGTGTGTGTGTGTGTGTGTGTCTGGGGGGTGTGATGTGTATTTCAGTGAGTGTGTGTGAATGTGAGGGCGCTCGCGCGCCCGCTTCTGCAGGCGCTGCTGCAAACACGCTACAAGCAACGGCAATCAATATGTAACTTTATCCTCTGAGAAAAAATCAGCTGTCCCCAGGCACCCATGCAAAGAAAGTCCCTTGATTATGAAAGTGTTTCAGAAGACTAGCAGGAGGTCGCCTCTCCCTTGGGGGGGGGGGGGGGGGGGAAGGCGTCCCTCCTTTAAGGAGAAAGGCTCGCTGTCGATTCAAGCTTTGAAGCTTGTTAACCCAAATCTGGCTAAATAATATTTAGGGCTCTGCCTTTTCCAGTCACCCCCCCCCCTCCCTCTCAGTCCAGATTCAAGGTAAAGCGGACGCACGCCCAATGACAAGCAGTAGGTTAGTTGTTTTGTTAGCCTCAAGCTTGCTATTGAAGTTCCATAAGGCAATTTGAATTTTATCTCCTTAAGACCAAATTTCAGTGTTAATAACCACATTTGCCAACACGGTTATGCATAGAAGCTGAATCATAAACACGAAGGCAGATCAATGGGAGGTCTGTGAAGACTCCTGTTTTGTAAATAACACCACCATCACCAGGACTACACGTGCACAGGCACACAGGAGATTTGAGGGGGGTGGGGGGGAGGAGAGGGGTTGGAAAGAGAGGAAGAAAGAGAGGAGGGAAAAGGGTCCTGATTCATTTTCTTCTCCAACTTCAATGCCTAATCTCAGAGATCCTTTCTTCCCAGATTATTATCAGGAACATGCACCAGTGAGGACTGGTTTGCTAGTGATCCAGCAGCTCTCGGAAAGAGTTAAGAAAAAAGAAATTGAAGTATTGAAATAGAAAAGGTGAGTGTTTTGATTGCTATCGCATTGATCGCAATTCATAAATACTAAAGTTAAGTTGCCATTTATAAATTGTGAATGACTAAAGTACAAGTCTGTAACATTAATCATTCAAGATTCAAAGAAAATCAAATCCAGACTTACAAGAAAGTTCTGATGATTGTTGTTGGGGTAATTGCTTGAACATTCAGGTTTTAAAAAAGAAAAGTTGTTTACTCCCCAGTGAATTCAATGATATAAACCTACAGACTGAATTTGCAGTCAGATCTGTATCCAAAATTCACCATTCTCTTAAGAGACTATTTTTAACAGCTGAAATTTTTAAGGAGGAGCTTTTAACAGCCAGACCTCCAAATCCTACAATGGCTTTGTATTTTCTCTAATAAGTAGTTTGCCATGCCTATACCTTTGCTAACCAAAGGAGCTAGGGCTTGTAGAAATCTGGGTTGTTTTGTGCTCAGTGGGTGTTTAACCATGCTGAGCTGTGAAATCTGATCTTTACATCCCTTTGATGTTGGTACTACCCCCCCCTCCCAACTTATATACCTTGAAAGGTGAGGCTTTGAAGCTTTAAAAGTTGCAGTTAACTTAAATAAAGAGTCATGATTATACACTCACTTATTAATCATTACTTTTTAATACAATAAATCTATGGCTTTTTTTTTTTTTTTTTTTTTTGCATTGCATACTAATTCAAGGAAAGTCATGAAAGGAGAAAGCAAAAACAAGAGAATGAAAAAAATTCCAAGGAAAGGGTAATATGGTTTATTGATTAGCCTTAATTATCTGCCCTGTTGTGCAAATAAGGGGAGAGACAAGGTTTCTGAGACCAGTGATAGGAAACATATCCTCCTAGACCTGAATCTGCCCACACCCTTCCAGAGTAATTATGTCACACCTCCCTCTAGTGTATAGAAAGAGAACTACCACGCTTATGTTGCATACCACAGGGCTTCTGCCAAAGGAGTAAAATAGAACTCTGACTTACATCTTATATAATCCGTAATACTGAGTTCTGTTGTTAAAGACTAACATGCTAGAATAGTCGAAATAATTCATTTTTATCATTATGTCTCATCCCTATTTTATTTTTAAAGGAAATGGATTCAACTAATTCTTTGGCTTTCCTTTAACCAGATACATTTTTTAAAATTATAATCAATCCTAATTTCTAACTATCTCATAAGTTCTACCTCTTTTCATCAAATATATTTTTTCTGTTTACAACATAGTTATTGAGGTGCTTCTTTTAGACTATGCATACAATATTGAGGTTATTTTTTTTCCAAAACATAAATGATGTAAATATGATCAAACAGTTCAAAAGTCCTATTGGTTTTTGTACTATAATATACTAAATAGGCTGTGGACATATACTAGTAAGATCTAGTTAAGGAATATAGAAGAATGTATGCTTTTCATAGCTAATGATACCTACAACCTCACATTTCTCAAGAAGAAACTGGTTCATAGTCATGATTTATTTTTATAAATGCTAGTCTTAACATTAAATCAAAATATGTTATTCCTCTTTATTTACACATATATTGAATAGCTAAAGATCTTATATGATTTAATAAAGATATATACACATTCACTGAGAAAAATTATTTGGAAAGATTTCTATGAACCTAAAATTTTTAATTAATAAAATATTATGCTGTCTGAGTTTTAAAATAAATTCGTATATTGAAATAGTTTCAAACAGAAGTATTAATGCCTATTTTTATAGACTGATAAAGACTGATTAATATTGCTACATTGAATCAATAATTGAATTAGTATTATTAAGGAAGAATCTCAAAGATGCCTTTTAAATGAAATCTTATGTTATTGAAGTTATTTAACTTAGTCTCTGATAGATTATTGAAAATTCATATTCACTAGCTGCAGTTACAGTTCAGAGAGTTTATGTTTAGAGTTATAATGGAAGCAATTATAATATTTTTCTAAAACTTGTCCTGCTTGCCATGTTCTTGAGTTCAAACAAATGCAATTCTTAAGAGATTTTTGATGCTTTTGAAACACAGCCACTGTTTCTATGAAAAAAAAATTCTTCATTCTTTTCTTCTCCATCATTTTTACCATTATTTTATTACGTGATATCATATTTTTAAAAGAGAATTTTTAAAGATAATTTTAATAACTAAGATGTTTTAAATATAATAAATACCAAAAGTTTCCACATCATAATTAAATCCTCAAGTGTATGATAGGATTTCATTTGCAGCTAGTTCTCCTATTTTTCATTGTCTTTTACAGATTTCAGGAGCTCACCACTAACATACCGCTCCTGGCTACTTGCTGATGTGAAATCAAAAATGTCCTTTATAATAAATAACAAATTCACACTTCCAATTGAATAATTACTAAAACATATCTTTCATCTTTATGATAAAAATGAATTCTACTAAAGAAACACA